TAAAACATATCACAGGGACCCCAAAACATGCAATAACCACATAAAAGTATATCCTCGGAACCGGGGGATCTGGGTGAACCACATATCCAAAATTGACCCAGATCCGTTCAGTAGTTTGGAAGATACCGTTCAATGCAGACTCTGCAGAACATATACAAGCTATATGAAAAATAATTACTGTATAATGTGTCCCCTGTTGTATAGTTTAAAACTACTGCACGATGTCTTTGTGAACAAATACCGGCGAGATGGCACCGTGTAGAAAAAAACAAACAGTGTCTGTGAGTTAAAATGGCCGCCATCCATTGTTCTCACCATGTGCCTCTGATACATGAAATGGTGGCCACCCAGTAACTCCACAGTATGTCCCCAGATGTTTCTTAAAGGGCCAGCAGCAGCACAACACAAATCCATTATGCCCAAATCATGTCTTTAAAGGGCAATACATCCCAGGGGCCATAGTCACATGGCAGGAGGCTGGCAATCAGTCTTCTCTAATGCCCAGTGGCGAGGTCGGTTTCGCCACATTCTCTATATACCATCACGTGATAATACAGCTCCTTCTGCACACATCCTTTATATACCATCACGTGATAATACAGCTCCTTCTGCACACATTCTCTATATACCATCACGTGATAATACAGCTCCTTCTGTACACATCCTCTATATACCATCACGTGATAATACAGCTCCTTCTGCACACATCCTCTATATACCATCACATGATAATACAGCTCCTTCTGCGCACAATCTCTACAGCTCCTTCTGCTCACATTCTCTATATACCATCACGTGATAATACAGCTCCTTCTGCTCACATCCTCTGTGACGAAGTGCCCTTCGCCACTTGTGCCTGGAGAGGACTGCTTGCCCGCCTCTTGCCCTGTGACTATGGCCCCTGGGATGTATTGCCCTTTAAAGACATGATTTGGGCATAATGGATTTGTGTTGTGCTGCTGCTGGCCCTTTAAGAACCATCTGGGGACATACTGTGGAGTTACTGGGTGGCCACCATTTCCTGTATCAGAAGCACATGGTGAGAACAATGGATGGCGGCCATTTTTACTCACAGACACTGTTTGGACTTTTCAACACGGTGCCATCTCGCCAGTATTTGGTGCACAGAGACATCATGCAGTGGTTTTGGACTATACAGCAGGGGACACATTATACAGTGATTGTTTTTCATTTAGTCTGTATATGTTCTGCAGAATCTGCATTAAACTGTATTTTCCAAAGTACTGAACGGATCTGGGTGAATTTTGGATATGTGGTTCAACCAGATCCCCCGGTTCCAAGGATATTTTTATGGGGTTATTGCATGTTTTGGGGTCCCTGTGATGTGTTTTATGAAACTGTATTATTTCTGGCCAGCAGATAATTGAGCTTTGAGTATTGTAGGAACTCAATTATCTAGCCTGGACAGAGGAGGAGTTTTGTGTTGCATAAATTGTGAGTTCTGTGTGCCAGTAAATCAGTCTTGTTCCAGCATTAAGCCTTGGCTCATGTTTGGGGGATTGGAGAAATACACTCTGGGGATTGCTATAATCACTATACTCCCCAGGGAATGATCACTAAGTTCTGCTAAGAGCTTGTTCCTGTTCCTGCTCTCTGGGGAAAGAGAGGTTCACCCACTGGAAGCTGGATCCTGGCCTTGGGTCCAGGGTGGGTGGAGACAGCAGAGACCCCGGCGCAGTTGCATCGCTGGAAGTGGGGTCTGCAGTGCTGATGGTGTCGGTTGGAGTGCTTGGAGTCCCCAGCGAGCACTAGGAGCATCGATTGGCGGAGGTACTCAGTCGGAGTGCCAGCGTTCCGTCACATGCTCTATATACCATCACGTGATAATACAGCTCCTTCGGCACACATTCTCTATATACCATCACGGGATAATACAGCTCCTTCTGCACACAATCTATATATACCATCACATGATAATACAGCTCCTTCTGCTCACATTTTCTATATAGCATCGTATGAGAATACAGCTCCTTCTGCACACATCCTCTATATACCATCTGTGGCAAACCTAGCCACTTCTGGACACTTAGGGTGAATATTTCGTTAACTGTTGCTATGCTCAATTTATATGGAGTGTGTAGCATTCGTCTGAATATTATATCAGTTATGGTTTTGTTTTTTGTTTTTTTATGTAAAACTGTATATTTTGCTGTACGGAGAGATAATGTGAATAACAGTACATTCTTGCACAATTATCTCTCCTGTACAGCAAGGCATGCTGGGAAACAGTCCTCTGTAGTAAAACCCCTGCAATGTCATTCAGGAAACCCCTTGCATGGGGACTTGCATAAATACTGTGACCGTGGAATAAAATGACAGTTGACAGTTGAATCCCAGACTGTGTCGCCTAGTCCTTGGGGAAGAGGGATTATTATTACGCTGCCTGTGTTTTACCTGCTTTATCCTGACTACCAGCGGAGATACCGTGGATTATACTGCTACTCCGTTACACACCATCCTCTATATACCATCACGTGATAATACAGCTCCTTCTGCTCACATCCTCTATATACCATCACATGATAATACAGCTCCTTCTGCACACATCCTCTATACACCATCAGCATGTTTTCGTTGTGTGCCCTTCTTGAATGCGAAAGGGAAGAACTGATTTTACATGCTTGTCAGATTCACTGGTAGGATGCAGGGTATAATATAATTATATTAAAAAACAAAACAAAGTATCAAGCTTAGGAAGAGTATAATAATGCCATTTTAAAGAAACAAGTTAAATACAGACAGGGGATGCTGCAATAGTTGGCATCACACAGCTTGTTTTGCCACCCCAGAGTCAGACCCGAGATGGTGGCCTCTTCTCTAAGGCTTCTAGCCTAGCTTGCTCCTGGTTATTTTGCAGAACCTGGTTGATGAATATCTCACTTTCCTGCCCAATTTCAGTCAAGCGTAGGTCGAATTCCACAAGTGTTTTGTTGTCTGTTATTCCCTCCAGTAGTTGCTTCCCCCCATCCTAAAAATAAAGATTTTTTTGTTAATGAGGTAAACTCTTGGTAATATAGCAAACCACGTGTAAAAATCTATTTTAGCAATTAATGTTTCTCTATGAACTATGCTTTTGGCATTACAGGACACTCATGTTTCCGAATATAACAGAAACCCACAGTCACCTAAACCCTAGTTTCACATCCTCTAATTTTCTCAGTCCCTAATGACATGACAACCATTCCCAACCCCTGAACTAATCCCCACCCCATGCTAGACTGATCCCAGCATACCATTCCCTGTAAAGCAGTAATTAGTCTTACCTTCAGACCATGGCCCACCCCATACTAGACTAATCCCAGCATACCATTCACTGTGAAGCAGTACTGTTAGTCTTACCTTCGGGCTATGGCCCACACCATTCTAGACTAATCCCAGCATACCCTTCACTGTGAAGCAGTAAGTAGTCTTACCTTCGGACTATGGCCCACCCCATACTAGACTGATCCCAACATGCTATTCACTGTGAAGCAAAAATTAGTCTTATCTACAGACTATGGCCCACCCCATACTAGACTGATCCCAACATTCCATTCACTGTGAAGAGGTACTGTTAGTCTTATGTTTGGACTACGGCCCACTGTATGCTAAACTGATCCCAGCATACCATTCCCTGTGAAGCAGTAATTAGTCTTGCCTTCAGACTATGGCCCACACCATTCTAGACTAATCCCAGCATACCCTTCACTGTGAAGCAGTACGGTTAGTCTTACCTTCAGACTATGGCCCACCCCATACAAGACTGATCCCAACATGCCATTCACTGTGAAGCAGTAATTAGTCTTGCCTTCGGACTATGGCCCACCCCATGCTAGACTGATTCCAACATGCCATTAACTGTGTAGCAGTTCTGTTAGCCTTATGTTCGGACTATGGCCCACCCCATACTAGACTGATCCCAACATTCCATTCACGGTGAAGCAATACTGTTAGTCTTACCTTCGGACTATGGCCCACCCCATGCTAGACTGATCCCAACATACCATTCCCTGTGAAGCAGTAATTAGTCTCACCTTCGAACTATGGCCCACCCCATACTAGACTGATCCCAACATGCCATTCCCTGTGAAGCAGTACTGTTAGTCTTAGTGTAAAAAATATCAAGTAAGTGAAGGCGCTAGTGAATAATTACAAGTGAAAAATGAATAATACCATAAAAGACAAGCAGCACTAATTAACTGTAAAATAGCTCAAGAAAACACTCTGTATACCAATAGAAAAGAAAAAAAGGGATTACAATTGTGAGAAAATCATGGAGAGGAGGAAATTATATTTTAGATATAGGGAAAGAAGAGATGAGATAGGTGCATAGATTACAAACTTTACAACCTAAAGGATTAAATATTGAATTCGATCTGTTTCATTTTTTGTAATATATTTGTATAATGATTTTCTCTTCTCTCTTCCCTTTCCCCCTTTTCTCAAGTAGGTGACATGTATAGTTCTGTATTTTTATGGATTCAATTATAGTTTTATCTATTTATTTATTTTTTAAATTAATATATATATATATATATATGTTCTTAGAGTCTTTATATAAGTGTTTAATGTATTTTAATTATTGCTCCTGGTCAATTGGTTTTTGACAATATGAGATACTCTTCTAATATTATAAATTCTGGAATATACTTTGGTGTCTAAATTTGAATTGTATTTTAACTATGTACCCTTATTTACATCCAAGAATGAGATATTTAGGCAATATGCCTTTCCAAACCCTCATCTATAGACCCAGTATATACCTGAAAAAATATGTTCTTTGCTTGTTCGCTATAAGAATTATGCTGTGCTATTTTTAATATTGTTATTTTACCTTTGGCTTAATCTTGAATTATGCTGGATTATGTAGGAATGTGTGTGCAA